ATATATGTATATATAATATTTATATATCTAATCGTTATAAAATCTAATAACATATAATTAATTAATGTATAAATTAATTAGACAATATGTGAGATGTGAGATTATTTTAGTCGGTGACTATGAGGTTTTTTAATTCGTACGGTAGAAAAGCGGCAATGACGAAAGAAAACGACAATACGCATCTATTACCATAGTAATTTCAGGTTACTAAATAATAGGGCATTGTTCGATACGGCTTTTGATCCGCAAAGTTGTTTACAAGATTTATTCGAGGCCTTTCAGGTGCACAGTCTGCATTCGAGAAAAGGTGCTTTACGCTTCCTCGACGGCTCTCTCGCGAGTGCATTGCCAGCCGTCGCCGCTCGTTGTGACGTTTTTAAATCACTGTTATTACGATACACCGATCGCGCATTGCCCCGGGGATGGTCGACGCAGTCAACGATCCGGCGGACACTTTCCATCCGCGTGGCTGATTTCCGGCCACGAGCACGTCGCCACGCCACGAGACAGCAAAAAGCGCGAGTAGTTCACGTTGAGCTATTCGGCCACGGCTACGATCGCGGTGTCCGCCACCGGTTTGTTACATTCGCCCGTTTACATCACATTAAAATCGACGTTCGATTGAAAAAAATATTCACGATCGATTACTGTCGAGACGCGAGAGAACTCACGTGATAAAATTTATGTATCTTTTGTATTATTAATCTTTTGTGACGTAACTTTCAGCTTGGATATATATATATATATAAAACTATTATATATAGTTATAATTATAGTAACTCATTTTAATCCGATGAAAACATTGTGTACTTTAAAAATCTGATGTAATTATAGATCAATTTGTGTGTACGGTAGCTCATGTCAGATTTAAATTTAAAAAGTAGATGTGAGGTGGAGACTAATCGTCGTGTCGGTTACAATCTATTGTGAATATCGGAGCGTAATAGTCGCTTGAAACCAAGCAACGGCACTCAGAACGTAACTAGTGCGCGGCACTTACGAACAGAAACAATAAAGTCAAGCGCGTATCGTTCGAGTGGTTGGTTCGAGGGTTCAGCCAAGGTTCACTCTCTCTCTCTCTCTCTCTCTCTCTCTCTCTCTCTCTCTTTTATTTTTTTACTCTTTTGTTCATCGACGATTCCTTGGCGCACTACTGGAAGCAGAATCATCAAAACAGAGTTGTTGTCGTCGTTGTTGTCGTCTTCGTTCATTGCCGACTTCGTAAATCAGCACCACGCAGCGTATAATCGTGAGCCAAGCCCGACTTTTATCTCCCGCACGAGAACTCGTTTATCCGCGAGATGCCCATTCGCCTCGAAGCAATTCGCGCCCCATCGTCCATTTGTTTGCCGATTTAATTGCAAAAAAATACGCAGGAAAGAGGAGGGTGCTCCTCTTCGGTGCGCTCTTTTCGCGCTCTCATCCTAGATTAACGACGACATGAAATGTCGCAGTTTATTTTCTTCCTTCTTCTCTCTTTCGTTGCAATATATAGATACCAAATGCGATGCATTGGTATTATTTCGTTAGATCATAAGGCTTATCGATTCTGAATAATTTTCTATAAATTTTAGTTTTGTGATAACATTTTTATGAGAACTGAGATATAATGAAACATACATAATTTAATTTGTTAATAATGTTAATTTAATAGATTGATAATTACAATTATTATTATTATCGCAAAATATGGTTAAGCTAAGATTTCTTTTCTTACATACGATAATACATTTCTTTTCCTCTTATACGATACAAGAAAATTTTATGAGGCGCGGCTTATAGTCTATGTTTTTGATTAGAACAGAAATAATTGATTTTGCACGATTTCTTCTATGTCTAAGTTTTTCTATTCACACTCGATGCCTTCATATTTGGATACGTAACTATCCAAGAGAAGAAGGAGACACAAGAGAGTCTCCAATGTACTATTCGAGCGCACACCGCACTCGCAATATTAGCATATAAATTATGTTATCGTGATTTATGCTCGCAGCCCGCTCGTACCCACGCGGGGCTGTAGGGGGTTGCTGATTAAAATTCGAGACGACGGGTGCGGGTGAACGCCTTGAACGGCTGCCACCCAGTAACAATTGATAAATAGATCAATGCCGTAATGGTGAAATAATTTGCAAGAATGCTAAATGTTTCAGATGGCTTTTCCTCGGCAACAAAATATGGCGTCTCTTGCGGGAAGAGATATTATACACTTATCTCCATCATGTCCTTTATCGCGCACTGACAATACAGTTTGACAATACAGATAAGATACTAAAATACAAATCGATAATTTCGGTTGTCAATAAATATTTACGGATTAATATATTTCCGAGATACTTTTGAGATAGATCGATAAGCCCGACGCAGAGCTATAATACCGCAGAGCGAAATGGCGTTGGCAATAAGTTTCTGGTATATTTCGTTCGACTCCGTTAACCGCTCACGTTCGTGCGCGGCGTCTCAAGTTAGGGCTTTAAAAGGATAACCATATACGGGCGGCGGGAGAGCGCACGGCGAGTATATTGCATAATAATTAACGGGCAGCCAACGACCGTACAACACCCTATAGACTGTATTGCCGCAAGTTCATTGCCGGCACGGAAATCGCAATATGTATGTTACGTGCGCCGAGCAGCGCGCCGCCGATCAACAATAGGCTCGTTCCATTCTTTCTGCATTTCCCCACGATTTACTCTCCTCCTCGCTTCTTCGTTCAAAACGTGAATATATATATATATTGTTTTTATATATTTAATCCCGAAAAATATCAAATAATGCAATTAAAGAAAAAAAAAACATCCTATCCGTTGCGATAGGTCCTTTTTGAATATCGTACAAAAATGTGTGGTTGAAAAAAATCAAGGATTTTTAAAATCTAAAATTTCCAATTCTGCGCTTCTCATCCTCGTCGTTTTACTCTATGTTACCCAAATGTTTCATCTTTGATAAAATCCCGATCGTTTTACATTTCTCCACGAGTTACTCTTCTCTTGGTTTCTTCAAATATATTTTATATATTTAATCTCGAAAAATATTAAGTAATACAATTAAAGAAAACACCATCTTCGCATTAAGTCTTTCATATTTTCGAATATTACCAAAAAAAAATCAGGATTTTTAAAATCTAATTTGTAATTCTGCGCTATCTCATCTTCGTTGTTTTGGAACCCTATGTTTCCCAAATGTTTCACCCTCGACGAAATCACGGTCGTTCTATATTTTGCTATTCCCCTCGATATCTACAGCTTATAATCTTCTGAGTAGTTAGGGGAAGCTAGATTGTATACAAGATTTCGAGAATAAATACAAGATAATCGTAGAAACCTCCGGGGAGACGTTCGATTCATTCAACACATACGTACGGAATCGTTTATATTTGATGGCTATTTTATATAATTCCGATCTAATCTCTTTATTTTCACTCGTTATTTTCTGCAGATCAAGTGAGAATGCGTAATAGCAACCAGAAAATTTTAGTATTTATAAGTTTTACTTGATAGAAATTAGTTAATATTTATTGACCTAATCTGGTTAGTTTCTGGCTAATTGTTAGGAAAAAAATATTAGTCAGAATATTTAGAGTTTTATTTGGCCAAAAATTGGCTAGCGTTTACTGGTTTGACTTGGCTAGTTTCTAGGTAGTTTCTGGCTAGTTGCTGACCAGTATTATCTAAGAAAAATTTTCTGATTAATCAATTATTTGATAGTTAGTATCCAGTAAATTCAAAAGAATAAAAACTAGTCAGTTTTTAATGAATAACCAGTTTTTCTTATATATTTTTCTACTTGGGCATTTATTCTCGGCGATGGGGGTGTTTGTATTGGCTCGCGAGACGTAACGTACGTCGCAATACGGTAATGCCAATTTGCCTTTGGCGAATCGCGTATCAAAACCCTCTTTTTCGCACAGTTAGTTGGCGTGTCGCTGGGCTGAATGCAGGAGACATGGTAGCTGGTTCAGCGCTAATTATGGTTAGCTCAGAACTGTCGCACTCTCACGATTAGATCCTCCCATGGACAATAAGAGTGTCTACTTTATCAGCATATCCTGTTGCCCATCCCGGAATATTCCGCGATGCAACGTGATATTTTTATCGTGCCTGCGCAACTTTCCTCCCGGTGTTTCAGATTCACACCGATAAAAAAAAACGTTGCGCGCGCGCCTACGAATAAGTAAGATATAACAGATTTATATTTAGACGAACATAAGACGTATATAAATAAATTTTCAAAAGTTACAGTTCTCGTATATCGCAGGCTCGATTGTCGGTTGGAAACGTTTAATTAAACGTTTCCGGGAACGTCTTCGTAAAGTCTAGCCGAGATTACGAAAGGGGCCGGCTAAGCGACGGACGAAATTTCCTTAAAATTGCGAAAGTGGCGCTTTTCTCCGTTTATCGTGCTCAACCGGGCGGAAAAAACGAGGCGTTAAGAGTAATTCGATTGTAGGTGTCCCGATCGGGAGAAAGAGATCGGTGGAAGGCACGATCTCGTGAAATCGATCGTGTCCGCTCGGTTGATCCGACACACCGAGAGACAGCTCCCACGTGGAGGCTGCCGGCGTCGGCCGACTCTCGAGGAAGCATTCGGGGCTTGACGTAACCGAAAAGTTTCACCTGCTGAAAATCGTCTGCAGACGATTTAACAAACCGGCTCGAGCACGCGGGCGCTCTGCACTTTTATTACATTATCATCCTCGTCGGAGCGTCGAAAATTCGCCTTGGTGTCGCAACCACGATGTGTGGTTACGAAAGCTGCGCGCACAGAGATTGTAATAATATTACGGGATAAAAGAATCCGATTGCGATTGAAAGCGCGCGCGCGCGTCTCGTGACGTTAAGTAACGTCATTACGCGACGAGGTGATTCAGAGGCGTGTCGCGCCTCGGGACGAGCGTGTACTCGCAAATGGAATTTGAAAATCACGGAGCGCCCGTTACGAAATATCGGATTTAAGGTGATGCTGAAGATACGAGCTCCGACGAAAGCGTTTTACATATGCACATCTGTACGCATGTAAACATACATGATGAGTACGTAGATGGTATTACTATAAATCTAATTGTAAAATCTCAATTGTTGTTTCTTCAATCTTCTAGTTTAGATATCAATTTTGCAGATTCACTTTGTTATATAAAGTAAATATTGACTCGACAGCTCTGGACGTCATATTAAAGTAACAAAATGATACAAAAGATCTAAATTAAAAAAAATGTTTCTTACGATACGACAAGTTCATATGCTAGATACGTTATTAATGCATGTAAACTTTTAATTGTCGGAAAAGGATTTCCAAATCCCTGTAAAATTTATTACAAAAATTATCGCGTTTTACGTCGGTAATACAGACGCGTTCAGCATCCTCTTAAAAGCGTCACGTGAGGATGAATTTTACGATGAATTTTACGATGGCTACTTTCGCGATCGTAAAAAATTTTATAGAATTATTTCATAAACTCGATGCGCCGTGCACGGAAAAACGGGTGATCCGCGTGATGAACGTGTTTCTGCGACGGGATACAGAACGCAGCCTTGGCAAGGGTGGATGTTTGCGCCGTGCTCCGCTGCACAGGCACAAAACGAACGTGGCTGGCCGTTCTCGCGGCGGATCAGATCGATCACGGACGTGTAATTTGCAGCGGAGGTTCCGTCATTTGGTAGTGGATAACCGCCGTCGTCGTCGCTGTACGGTCCGCGGTACGGCGACTTCCAGATGGTGAAAGTCCGGAGATCCTATGCTCTTACGTTTGCCGTTAGATGCAAAATCTCGTCTTATGCACGCGCATTGTATTCTTTACATAGGATTAAATTGGACTCGCTGCCTCGACGGTGTGTCCCATCCGTCGTTGCCTTTCCGTTCGAGCGTGAATGCGATCGTGAAGTGGGACGTCGAATCGAGCGGCCGCTGGGAGATTCTAATCGATCGCGTCTGTATACACGGATTGTTTTTACATCAGTCGAGCAATTAATATGTCGAGCAAGTTGCACAATTTCGCTAGATTTAGTTATCTATATTATATATAATAAGGTATATTTTTAGATATGTCAGACATTTATTTTGCCGATCGATTTATGAAGTTCTCAAAAGTTGATGAAATAAATTTCGCGATATGGCGGATTAATCTCTTTTCGTATATACAGCTGCAATTTGTACGATAGAGCAACTGCGCAACTTTCACAATTGCGGAGACCGATCACCACCGATCGGATACGAACAAGAGCTGTTATAAATCACCCCCGAGTTCGTGCCGATCGATTCCAGCACTCCACACTAATTTCATGGTTTAGCCGAACGAAAAGGGAGGAGAAGACAAGGCTGGAGAAAAATACTGCGGGGCCGTTCGTTTATGAGCATTGTCCGGGGCTCTCGACCCTATCATGGCTCATTCTGCGATGTGGAACTACGCGGGGATTCTAGGAAGCGTTCATAGGGGTAGAACTACGTTTCAACCCCGAGTTACGACGAGGGTGAAGCACCATACGGCCCCACGGAGAGATAAACACTTAGAGAGTTATATTATTTAGGGGCTAACTCGTCGGCTTCCATCGCGCTTCCATAACTGTTTTTATTGGTAATGCAAAATATGAGGAATGTGCGAACTATAGTCATCACAAGGCCGTGATCTCATAAAGAATATATCTTTTTATCGTAAATTTCTGTACGCGACCGCAGAAAGAAAGAGAGTTTGTAACTAATTAAAGAGCCAATATTAGAAAAGCATTATTAAATATATAAATAATATTAAAAAATAAAAAAATATCAGAAAAATAGAGAAATTAATTGAGAAATAATTTGGCACAATTTTGGCAAATTTTACGAAATGGAGTAAAGAGTTATTTTAAGAGTTATTTTATTGTTGCAGAGTTTCTTGGAAGCGAATTCTAAATGCTGGTGGAACGCTGCCCTGGTGGATGCGACGCGGCAGCTAAGGTACAAAGGTCACGTGTCGCCGGGTGTGCTGATGGTTAGCGGACCGCCCTGCGCCCTCGAGGTTTTGAGGGCGGCATGGGCGCGAAATGTTCTACGACCACCCGCGGATCACTCGATCACCTGCCTCGGTACGTATATATATATATACCTTGAATTAACTCCCGCAACGCCGGAGGGTTGACTTAACCCGACGGCTTCAGTTGCGTTCGACCGCGCCTGTCCGCATTAAATCTGTTTTATTCAAACTAAGATAATCGAGGAGAGTTTAATTAAAGATAAAGCAATCTGTGAAAGTGAAAGTGAAAGTGCCGATATTTTACACGAGCGAGTTCTTACGAGAGAGGAGATAATCCTGCGTGACCCTGGTTCCTAGCGCATTTGAATTCCAGAGCCAATATAACGCTTTATGCGCACGAAAAATGATGTACGAGTTTCATTTCGTGCGTCTGTCTCGCCATCCTTTTTGCTTTTCACCGCCGATGCCTTTGATAATGAATCGCCTAGATATCAAGATATCTTATTTTGGCCGAGATAAGCCAGATACCTGAGAAATCGCGTTGCGCGATTTATCAATAATGTATATTAGTAATAATTCGCGTGCGTAGCTGTATCATTTCGATTCTTTTCTAACGCGCGATGTAGAAACAAAATCTAATCGGCTTCATTGCCTATAAAAATAAATATAAGCATGCGTTTGCATTACAAATTATCGGTTAAGTTTCAGATAATTCGACCTGAGGGTCCTAACGTGCTAAATACACGCAAACGCCGACTCCTTGTAAATAAAGCGATCGAATTGCGCGGAGAAAATACCCCGATCTTCGGGCGCATTACCTTCCTTATCCGCTTATCCTCCGTAATCCGCGTCTGTCGTCAACGTACGTTTCTGCAGAAATAGTTTCGCGCATATCAGGTAGTCCATGCGCACCCGTATGCACCCCCGCGCTTCCCTACGTCGCTCCCTCTTTCTCCCCTCGTCCCTTCCTTTATGTCTTTTTGGTCGCTGTCGCCGATCCTTTTTTTCCATCTCCACCTCCGTTTCTTTCTGATCTTATTGCTCCCTTTTATGCCCCGCGCGCTCGTATCTATATACGCCTACGCTCGACTATCTCGCATACCGAGCTTATGCTAATGCACGCGCGTATCCGCGCAACGGCGTAGGAACCCGGCTCGGCTTATTACGATGCGCCGGACGGCGCGAAAACGCTCTCGCGAAAATGAAGGAAATTTATTCGCCCGATAAAGAGCGCGTTATTACGTGACTTTATCCGCGTGGGAAAGCTCTTTGTCCGCGCCAACGTCGAAAAATTGCGTCACAGAACGTCGAAGCGCGGTCGCGGCTTGCGATTTTTCCAATTTTATCCACTTCTCTCTCGTATCCAGTCCGCACAGCTGCATGAAACGTAGAGACAGTAATATACAAGATATTTCAAATGTGATTGGGAACCTAAAGACAAGAAAAAAAGTTGGTATAGATCTGCAAATTGTTTTCGAGTTATCGCCATTTTTACGTCGAAATGTTCATATCAATTTTTCTTGAGTAATTGACCTCCACTTATGGAACACCCTGTACATAATTCATTGACATCTTACATTTACATTTATAAATATAAGTATATAATATGTGTCTGTGCATATCAAGTCAGAGATTATATCGAGACAAATCTCGACGGGTGTGATACGCCGTCGGGAATATTAATTAATTCGCGGCGTATCGTAATCGGCGACTAAATGGCGGTCGTCGGGCTGATTAACCGTGCCGAATGCGGTTAATTAGGGTAAATCACAGCGCGCGAGGATTATAAAGTTTTTATATTTTAAAAACGACCACCTGTAACCCCTGCAACCGAGTAAATGCGACACCGCGCCGGCTTTCCAGTTCGCGCGCGCGCGCGCGCACGGATGCCTTCGTGTGGCAAACGAGCTTGACTAACATTCCGCTATTTGCCGATCAGGTCGGGGCACACACCACCGCGCATAATACACGCGTCTTATATGCGCGTGCAGTAATGCGGAGTTCGCGCACTGCCATATAATTGGTCTGTCGTCTACCTCGCGGTGAGACGACCGAGCCGTTCCGACCACTGAAACCTCTTTATTTCCATCGCGTTTCCATCTTGGACGTCGACGACGAGCGTCCGTCTCCGTAAATATTACGGCGGTTGCGCATAATTTGCTTGTTAGCGCGCCGCCGACTTTCCTGAGCAAAATGCGCGCGTGTTGACGTTCAATGAGCGCGAGATACGCGTAACGCACGGCGGCTCATTAGCAGGGAGATCACGCTTGCCCCGTCGTTCTTTTTAATCCGCACGGCATTTCGCAAGAATATGTTAATCCGTAAAGTCTGCAGGAAATGCATGTGGGGATGTATCCATGTAGCTGGATCGGGATTTCGAGCGCTTTTTTCAAAACTGATACTTTTCACTGAAATTTTTACTGTCATTTATTATTATTATTATTATTATTACTATTTATTTCTCAATATTGAATATTTGGGATTTCGTCGTAAACGAAAACCGATGCGAGAGAAACGCGATTTGAAATTGCACAATCGCGGAGAATCGCAAAGCTTTCCCCGAAACCCTCCCATGGTCCGAGAGGGTCCGAGATCGAAAAGGAAAAAAAAGGAAAATGGCACAACGCGCTCGACATAGAAATGGCCCGATTGGTACGCAAGAGTCGCACGACGGAATTCTACATCCTCGATGCTGGGCGCAGCGAAGGGAACGTCGGCGGGCGCGCGTCTGGAATGCCAGACCTTCCCCCTCGCGTCTCCCCACCACGCCCTAACTGAAATCCATACGGTGCGCTCTCGCGCGGGGTAATAAATCGGCCTCCTCCGGTGCGCGACAGTAACGGCATTCCAGGGCGATCGATTAAGTCGTGGGTACTTCATCGGAGACGTGTGGTGGACGATAAGAGCGCGTTTTCCACGCGCAACTCTCATTTCTCGCGATTTATCTCGATCCTATCGCGGACCACTTTATTATTGGCCGACGAGAATGACGAGTAATAATCGCGCGAGCGGCCACTTATTATTAATTAGATACATTTGATTGTGCGCGAGGATTACATTAGGCGTGCAATTAATATCTCCGTCATTATCGGCCGTTTCGATCGGGGAGAATATTCCCGTCCGGGTAAACAAGATCCACGGCGCGTTTACGGTAATGCGGAGACCTAATAGCGGGACATCGGGACGTCGTACACGTTATACCTGTTTCAGACGTTTATTGCCAACATAGTTGGATAAAAGGCGAGTCGCGAATGCTAATGCGGGCCAAGCCGATGCGTCAAGGAGATAAAGGGGGGGCTTCGCGGGCGTACGTAGTAACGACGAGAGAGGATTCTCCCTGGGACGTGCCGGAACGGCGCGGTGCCGGGAAATTAATAGCGCCGTATCGACATCCAGTTATTTCTATACTTTGTGTCTATGCTATAAATAGACGCGCGTGTACAGAGATACATAGGCGATAGAGCGTGCGGTAACGCGAAATGCAACAGTCGTACGTTACGTGTGCGAGCCGATCGTGCGGCCGATTGCGATTCAGCGTTTTTGTTCGCGCGAGGCCAAACGCCGTGTGCTTCATTCATTATGCTTACATATTGACTGGCTGCGGACGTTGTTAAGGCGCGCGAAACTCCGTCTCGTGTTGGAGGCTGGCTGCGCGAGGCTGCCTCTCTCGACTGCGAAGTAATGCAGCCGCATTTTACGACGAGACGAGCGAACGGCGATCCGAAACGCGTCGCGTCGCGTCGCTGCGCTTTAGCCGTGTCGGGGATTGTGTCATGCCGTTTGTGAACGCGCAAGAAATGTCGTTTCGAATAATCTGTTCGTTACTTTCAAGTCTCAATTATCGGTTTCGCTACAGCGAAATTTATTTGAGAGAAAGCAGGATAATAAGATGTCCTCCTGAAATGTAGATGTAAAATAATGCTGACATACGTAGCTATACGCCATACAGAGTGAAATTAAGAAAATATAGTTTAATAATTATTTAAATAATTTAATCAGTTTTGCAAAGCATAGGCGCGTGGATATTGCTTTGACATTTAGCTTACGCTCTACATTTAAAGCATATCTCAAAGGAAACATTTAAATATACGATCGTGAAACATGTTAAATATACGATTGTGAAACATGTTAAAAGATATGAGGGTGCAATCGTGCCTTGTTACAGGCCTGATAACAGGATTCCAACTGGCCCTACCCCTCTCCGGGTTACCCGGTTTGGTTGACATTTTCCCCGACCGACATTTATTGATTACTTTCGATTTGACTTTTTTTTTCTCAAATTGTCTGTCTCCGTCTCGAATCGCAACGAGTTCGACGTAGACTTTTCGCTCAGCAAACTATTCGGCAAACAATGACGACGGCGTGCCTGCATATTCGCTTTAATCGAATCTTTATGTCGAGGCGAGTTAACTTGAGAGAATCCGACAATCGCATTTAGCGTTAAATGCGAATCGAGAAACACGATGTCGATACCTTAAGGCCATGGCGCGCTCTAAACACGTCTCTGTAATCGTAAGGTCGGTCAACCTCTCACGCCTCCCCTGTCACGATTTTGCTATTCGACCGATCGGAATAAGCTTCGGCGTATGATTACCTCTCCCGTGTCAGGAAAAAATTCTTTTCACCATTTGATTAGAGGCGAGAGATTTGTACGCGAGCACGTTGTTATGCCTAAACGTATAATCAGTATATCGATACCTGACGAATATTGCAAATTAAGGACGAGGGGGATCAACGATATCTTCCCCGGATATCACTTCCCCTGTAATAATCCCCTCGTATTTCTTCCTCTCGAAATTAATCGTTAAGTTACACATATTACTTTTTATTTTAAAAAAAAAAAAAAAAAATATGTTGTTTTATTCTCATAGCCTTTGCGTAATTTGCTTGAGAAGAGGGGAAACTGCATTTACTGGTGCGCATCTGTCACGCGTTAATTAACAGTGTAACGACGTTAAAAGGGTCATTATTCACTTGCCTCTAAAGGAGGAAATTAGGAATTTCGAGATTACGGAACGGCGAGGGAATCCCACGGTCCTACGATTCGCTCGCTTCACATGTGCAAACGTGTACGAGCGAGTGAAATGACAGAGTAACGAGCTATCTGTCTAT